CGAAAGTCGGATGTTTTTTATCCAATTCTAGCGACGAACTCGCGCAATGTTTGCCAAAAAGAAGCCCTCATATTTGTATCAACGTGCGTTTCAAAGAGAAAACAAATCTTAATTACCAATAGATCGGAATTTTAATAATTATGTATTTAGTATTTAAATTATCAATTTTTATTCGTTTTAATATCTAAACTTTTATTCTTTTTAAAATTATATCGAACATTAGTTTTTATTTTATTTTAGTACCTCGTCGTTAAGAATTAACGGGATATTTACACGTAGCATCTTTTTATGGGTAAATTACATTATTCATCACACAACTATCTTTTCACTCCTATTTTGGTCACTAAAGTTTAAATTTTTTAATTTCATTACTAAACTTTCAAATTACTCTTAATTTAATCACTCTATCTTTCAATTTTATTTTTAATTATATATTAATAAAATACTAAAAATGTCATGTCCCAAAAAGTATTAATAAAATAAATTAGAGTGATTAAAATAAGAGTAATTTGAAAGTTTGATAGTTAAATTGAAATTTTTTAAACTTTAGTACCAAAATAAGAGTGAGAAGATAGTTGAGTGATGAATAATGTAATTTACCCATAGAAAAGATGCCACGTGCAAATCACCCATTAATTTTTTAACGGCGAGGTATTAAAATGAAACAAAAATTAAACGTTACGTATAATTTAAAAAAAAATATTTAAATACTAAAACGGACTAAAACTAATTATTTAGATACTAAACGTGTAATTTACTCAAAAAAATATTGTATTGGTTTTAGTTTAAAAGATTTAAGAATAGATTATATTTTAATCCCTAATTTGCTAGACTTCTAAATTTTGCATAATGATCACTAAACTTTTAATTTATTTTCATTATAGTTATTATCGTTGACTGTCGTTAAGAAAAAATTGAATTGACATATTAAAGTCTTTTTTTTCCAAAAAAAAAAAATTAAGGTCCTAAATTGACAATCGTTGTAAAGGTCAAGTTTTATATGAATATAGTAATCACCCATTAATCCCGACGATGAACAAACTCTATTTGACTTGAAATCAATATATTTTGATTTTCAACTGATTCGATAATTCACAAATGATATGTTAAAAGAAGTAACTTTTGATTTGGGGACAATCAAAATTACTATTGAGGATGAATAATGGGAGTATGAATGGATTGATAATGAATAATGAGAGTCTAAATGCATCCCTTACATGCTAAGAATATAACATGTTTTTAAGATGCATCCCTTACAATGTACATAAGAAAAAGGTTAAGGACCATCACTCAATTATCTTATCTCTTCTATTTTGATCATTCAATTTTTAAATTTATTAATTAAATTTTCATATTATTCTGATTTTGACCATTCTGAATTATTTATTATTATTTTGGTCTAACATGATATTTTTTATTATTATTTCATATAAGTAATTTAAAATATGAAATTAAATTCAATTGTTTGCCATCTTTGAACGCAACCATCGATGACCGTAGATGATGACAGTTTGATCTTAAATTTAATTGGTCACTTCGTCTTGACCCCTGATTTCAAATCTAACCTCAATTTTGTCGGAATGTGAACCAAAGTCCACAAATAGAAGATCAAAAGTGAGGAAACTGGAATGTTTCAGTTGAGATTTGTGGATTTTGAGTCATTTTTCAATGAAACAACCACGAGATTCAGACTTATCGTGTCAAAGCTAGTCTTAAGATACAATTTGAAATCAAATGGTCGTCGATTTTGAAGACTGACGTGATGATAAGTAATGTAGATTATTTTAAATATTTTAAAATTTAATAATAATAAAATATTATTTTTATATTTAATACTATTTTAAAAACACCTTGTCATAAAAAATAAAAAAAATAACGGAGAGTGAAAAAAATGTTGAATGTATCAAAATATTAATCATTTCATAATGATATTTAATTCTATTTTTAATATAATTAAATTGTGAGTTTGAAATGACATTTTTACCCTCATTATTTAACTTATAAATAGTGTGCTATTTTTCTCTTTTGAGATATATATCCCAAGCAAATGAAATTTGCTTTGAAACACTCTTTCTCACGTGAATGTTGTTTGAGTTGAGAGAAGAGCAATACCATCAATTCCGCTCCATCTTTTAGGTGTACGAAATTTGGAGAGTCGTGCTAACCTCGAGGGGGTTATTCGTTCATTGTAGCGATTACACACATTTGGGCGAATTCATTTATAAGACAGTGGAATACCACAACACTGTTATCGTTCTATTTAAATATTTTATTTAATATTTTCAATTAGTGCTAACGTCTCGTTTTGCAACAGTCTATTTTTTTAACGTAAAGTATAGTTAGTAAACTGAAAGGTTTAAAAGTTGAGTGAATAAAATAAGAAAGAAAGTAGATGAGTGACGATCTTTGTAATTTAACCTTTTATCAAAAGGAAAATATCTAGAAGGATAAAGTACACCAATCATCACTAGACTTTACTATCTCTCTTATTTCACTCACTATACTTTCAATTTTTCTAATTTACTCACTAAACTTTTGAATTTCTCATGTTTTGGTCAAAAAAATTATTTTATTATTATTATTATTATTCTATGACATGGTATTTTTATATATTATTAAATATAAAATAATATTTTATTATTATTAAATTTAAAATAATCAACATCTCTTCTCATCATCGTCGACCAACATTTAAGTTTAATTTTATATTTTAAATTATTTTTATATTAAATAATAAAAAATCCATGTCATATCAAAATAATAATAAAATAATTAAGAGTGTCCAAAACAGGAGCAATTTAAAAGTTCAACGAGTAAATTGAAAAAAATGAAAGTACAATGTGTGAAATAGGAGAGAGAGTAAAATTCAGTGATGAATGGTGTAGTTTACTCTATCTAGAATTATACTAAAACTTTATAACTATAACTGTAAACTAAACATATAATAAGGTTAAAAAAACTCGAAAAGAAAAAAAACTAATTACTTAAGATCATATAAGGATTACACAAGAAAAATGTTAAAAAAACTCAAAAAGATCTTATTGCGTATCACAAAAGCTCTAAAGTAGATCAAAGTCGAACGACGTGTAAAAATTATCAACGAACGCAAATTGTATATCCAAATCTAGTCTAAAGCTCTAAAGTAAAGAATATCAACATAGTAACAAATGAACACTATCTTGATCAATTGTAACAATATCAAATCTAACTATAAGAAGAAAAAAAACGAAAATAATTATTAAACAATCGAAAACATATAAAAAATATAGAAAAACGTGTCATAAAAATTGAGTTATTAAAAACTAAAAGAAAAAAAATAATGTTATAACAAATACCAAAATTGATGTCATCACATATCAACTAAAAACGAAGAAAAGTTGAGTGAATATAGAATTTCTAAGACAGCTCTATTTAAAAGAAAGAAAAAGACCCCAACATATATGTCATACCTATCGATGTACAAAGCAAAAGATGTCGTAAAAGTTGACATGATTTTCTTAATGGAAAAAGATTGGGTGTCCTGCGAGAACAAGACCAACTGAAAATGGCATCGCGGTGCGATAGGTGTACCGCCCGCCCGAGTGCGCGCGCGATTTCTTTATTTTATGTCTTCTTTTGCCAGACCAATCACGCTGAGTTGCCAAGTGAACGTCCAATAAATACAGAACCGTGTGACAAGAATCATAACATGTTGAAAATGGCGTCATCTCTCTTTCACACGATCACCTAATCTAAAAACAAAATCGTCGCTTTCCAATGTATTTATCGCGGGTAATTATAAATTCTATCATTAAACTTTATTCTCTTTTATCTTGTTCACTGAACTTTAAAAGATTTTAATTTTCTCATTAAACTTAATACATTAGATTTTGTTGTCACTGATTTTGACTCCTCTTATTTTAATTATTCTGTCGTTAAATAATTAACAACGTTTAAAAACAATGTTGTTTTAGAAAAATAATTTTTTTACCAAAATGACGTCGTTTTGTATTTATACAACGACTCATTTTAATGTCGTTAACTTTTTAACGGACGAGTGATAAAAAAGATTAAATATATTAAGTTTAGTGATAAAATTAAAAAATTTAAAGTAGTAGTAAATAAAATAAGAGAAATAATAAAGTTTAGTTGGCAAATTTATAATTTACCCATAAATTACTTATCAGTTAGCTATCAGCCTATCACCACGTACCTTTAGCGATTTCTCTGATAAAATCTAACAATCGCGCGTTCTCAACATCCGACTATTTACATCATTTAAATAATCATTGTCTATGTTAAAATTTCTAATTATTAAAAAAATATAAAATATTTTTTATTATAAGGTGTTTTTTTATTAATTTTTTACTATTAAAAGTTATAATGATCATTCGATTATTCATATATTTTAAATTCATTATTTTTTGTTAAAAATAGCAGTAATCTGAATTGAATTAATATATTTATTAGGACATGATAAAATATTATCTTAAAATTATTTTGAGTTATATTTTATGGATTAATTCTCAGTTTACATCATGTCGTTGAGCCAATACTCGAAACATTATATTGTTAAGTCAGTAGTTAAAAGTATAACGTGCCAACAAATATCATAAAAAATATAATTTTATCATATGAATTATTAGGTTAACATCTAATGTTGAAGGACATTAATTTTTTAATAGAAAAAGAAGAATTGAAAATATATAAATGATCGAGTTTTTATTTTATATATTTTAATAAATAAGACTCAACAAAATAATACGAATAAACAAAACAAGTCAAGTGGGCCCTTCTCGCTGAAAAAAGAATGGTGCGGCTTTTTTTCTTCTTTAATTTCTTCGAACGCTGTCGCGCGGTCGCCTCTGTTTAGCGAATGATTGCCAAAATATCAAGCAACACACTTGGTTTTGGTGATTTCAAAAACCCAAATTTTAAATATGGTACTAAGATAAGATCGAGAGATCAAACTGAAATGCTATCAACGATATGAAATATTTCTGGGTAATCAGACTTAGACGATGTTGGGTTGGGAGGCACAAATCCAGATTCAAGAACTCTTGGAATTAATATCCTTGGGGGAAGAGGTTTGCTCCGCCGTTAAGAGGGCCAAGTCCTTCAAAGGGGAATGCAGTACGGTAGGGAAGCTGGTGAATCAACTTTCTCAAACGATGAAGACCCTTCTTTGCTGCATCCGTTCAGCTCGAGCTCAACTTTACTTGCGCCCACTTCGTTGCATACTGGCCGAGGTCAAGCGACACTTTAAGCTCGCTCTCGCCGTCCTTCACAAATGCAAGCGGCGGAACTTCATATGGCGGCTCTTCACTGGCTGCAATGGAATCCAATTTAGGGAGCTCCACAATTGTTTATATGCTTCTATTGAGGATATGAAATGGTTGCTTTCCATATACGTCGGAGGCCGCCGCGAAACGCCGTGCAAGGAGTTGCCGAGGTATCGGGCTTGGTCATGCATTGCCTCCGTGAAAATGGGGCGTGAATTAGACGATCGGATCAAGGCGGTGGATTCTCTGTCTTTTCTTGCTCGGGAAAAAGACGAGTATAAGAACATTGTTTATGAAGAAGGTGGTGTACCTCCTTTACAAAAGCTTTTGAAAGAACACATTTGTTTAGAAGCTCAGATCAAGGTTGCCAACACACTTTGCCTTCTAGCTAACGAGAAGGGAAGAGAAATGGCGATCGTGAAGGAAATGGTCTCGACTATCTTAAACCGATTATCGAGAACATCTCCGATATGGGATCGAATCGAAGCGGCCGATTTGGTAGCCAGCATTGCAGAACATAATCCGGAAATGAAGGAATATCATTTAATCAGGGAGAACGTATTATGGAGACTGGTTTCATTGTTGTCATCTGCTGATGATCATACGCCGAGTTCACTTGAGCTGCAGCTGAAACTCAGTTGTTCAAAGGCTTTGCTGATCCTTATTCGAGAGAGCGTTCGGAATTGTTCGACGTTCACCGAGACAAAAGGTATGCTGTGCTTGGCTAAGTTGTTGAGAACGGAAAAGAATGAATTGCAGTACAATTGTTTAATGATTATAAGGGAAATCACAGCCATTGCTGAAACAGATGAAGGTTTCAGACATTCCACTTTCAAGAGCTCTTCACCGGCTTCGAATGCGATTGTCGATGAGCTATTGAGGGTAGTCGAAGGATACGACATCACTAAACTGCGAATTCCGGCGATCGAGTCGGTCGGTTCATTGGCGAGGTCTTTTTCAGTAAAAGGGAGCCGAGTAATTAGTCCATTGGTGGTACTACTAGGCGATACAGACCGAGAAGTTGCGATCAAAGCTTCAATCGCCTTGCAGAAGTTTGTATCCGTAACTAATCACCTTCGTTCCAAGCATTCGAAGTCAATAATCGAATTCAACGGCATACCATTGTTAATGAAGCTACTACTTAACGACGGAGATAAAGAGTTACAATCGCACGGATTGACTCTCCTGTGCCACATCGCCATACACAACGACGGCGAAAGCAATGTTCTGATCAATGCCGGAGCATTGAACGCTCTTCGGACAACCGGTCAGGCGGTTGCCGAGGAACAATCCGAATTAAAGGCATTGGTTACCGAAGCAATATCGAAACTACAATCCAACAACACAGAGAAACACGAAGAACCGGACAATTCACCAGGAATTATACAATGTATTACAGAACAGAGTAAAGCGTTTTTCAAATTTATGCAACGTCAATGGAAGATAGTGTTACAGTGTCTTACCGTATACCTTCCGGAGAATGTGAATCTCCTGCGAAAATCATGTAAAAAGGGGATCTCAAGAGCAAAACGTTCATTGAAAAACAGGATAATTCGGAGGCTTAAGAAATCAAACTGCGTGGAACCGAGTTCAACTCAAAAGCCGTTGATGGACTCATGGGTGAAGGAGATTGCACGGAAGCTTAGGGTGATGAAGAAAATTGTTAAATCAATGGAGAAGAAAGAGATCAGAAGAAGATTTGGATATATCATATATAAACTCAGAACCGGCAATCGAACGATTTCTAACGAGTTATACCAAATCCACATATTCTGGAGTTTGGATATTTTGGTAAGTTTATTCGGATTCGGATTATTTTGGATTCAAATTCAAATTCAAATTCCTTATATTAAATCGGATTTGAATGAATTTGGATTCGAACTCATTTTTCTAGGTATACATTAAATTATGTAAATGTGCATATTGCTAATTGATATAATCAACAAACTTTTCATTCATATTGCTAACATTTTTTTCTAGGTATTCATATTGCTATGTAAACTTTCTTTTATCTCAAATTAGTGTATCAACTTTTGAAAATTTCTTAAATCGATACTTAATTTTTAATTTAATATTTCGACAAATAATCAGATTATGACATGTTATTTTATGGTGTCAACATTTTAATCACATCAGTAGCCCAATTGGTTGTTGAAGTGATATGTCATCACAGGGGCCAATTTGAGAATTTGGAAAAACTCAAGACCCACTGAAAATTTTACAAAATTCAAGTACCAATTCGTAGAGTAAACAAAACCCAAAACCGAGTCACCCCGTTCGGCCAATCAGGCATCAGTCATCACCCAAGATAACCTATAATTTAATTTTATAAATTTTATTAAGTCATTAGTTATGTTTTTGAGACATTATTATCGGAAGATATTTGAAGTTGTCTTTTTATCATTCGTATAGATCAGGTAAAAGGAAAGGATATGATCTAAAGATTATATAAAGTATGAGACATTTGAGATCAGGTAAAAGGAGAGGATATGATCTAAAGATTATATAAAGTATGGGACATTTATCATAAATTATCTCCAAACGTAAGAGTATATGAATGTTCATACCTCTAATATTCATGATGCTCAAATTCAGGATATAAAAAAATAATAACAATTTCTTTATCATCGGGGACGTGTGGTTTGTACTATCATATAATAATTTGAATAAGAAATTAACAATGATACAAATTAAATTATAGAAACTTTAAAAAATCGAATGACACAATTATCAAAATGGGAGAACAAAGTGATCATATTAAGACTTGAACTCATAGCATAACCTTTTAAAGGGAATTCTCAAACAATATGGGTATTATGATATTGGTTTTTAAAGGCGTAAGACGTACCAAGACGCAAAAGGTCCCTAAAACCTAGGCGCAAGGCATAGGCACAAGGCGCTAAAAGATTTATAAATAAATTCTAGATAATTTCTACTCATGACACACTTGAATTCTTCCCCACACTTTATCCCTTTACCATTGTTTGTCCCATCCTTAAAAATTAATTTAAAATGATATAAATTAATTTTATTATCAATTCAAAATCAAAATATAATTCAAAATTATTATGAAAAAATTAATTGTTATATTTAATAAAATTTATTAAGTAAATATTATTTAATTTAATATTTTATTATTTTAAAAATAATTATATATATGTTATTAAATTAATTAGTTAAAAAAGCATAAATATATAATATAAACAGTGCACTTTTTTTCTTGTTAAGAACAGGCAAATGGTGGACGAAGTATAATGGGCTTGTTTTAAATAAATAATTTAGGGGTGGACATGGGTTAGGTTCGGATTAGGTTTTGGCCAACCAGATCCGATACAAAAAAATTTACATCCTTCACCCGACTCAACAACCTGACCCGAAAAATATATATCATCCACCCGACCTAAACCCGACCCGATTTTTTGAGATAAAATCCGAACTTGATCCAACCCGACATGAAATAATAAAGAATATTGTTTTTATTCAATAAAAACAATGATTTAATTGAGAAAAAAATAATATATAGAGTGGGCATTATTGTAATTATTCCTAAATATATAAGGTAAAAAAAAATTCCGAGACGGGTCGGGTCGGGTTTTTTTCACTCTAAACTCAAATTCGACCCGACCAAACCCGAACCCATTTTTTATATAAAAAACATGACCCGACTCGATCGGGTCGAGTTAGAAATCGTCGGGTTCAGGCCTTATGCCCATCCCTAAAAATAAATATTAGACTTGGGCTATATATTTGGGCTGCATATAGGTTAAACTATATGGGCTAGGACTAGGGTTAAGGGAATTAAAACATGTGATAAATGAAATAAAGTGTCGTTCTCTTCAACCTTTCTGCTGCTATTCTCTTCAAACTTTTCTACCGCCGTTCTACTCCACTATCTTTTTTCCTTTTTTTTTCCTTCCTATTTTCAATTAAATCTCTCCCCTCCGGAGGCGTAAAAAGCGCCGCGCCTTCACCTGCAAAGAAAAGCGCCGAAAGCGCGCACATACCGTTATGCGCTGCGCCTATACCTCCGGAGGCAATTTTTCCTGCGCCCGGCGCTTTTTAAAACCAAGTTTATGATGAATTAAGGTAGTTTTTCTCAATTGAGATGATTATCTGTGTTAATTATTTAAATTAAAAGTGTGATATTATAAAAATAAATAATTAAGTTGTTTTGAATTAAAATAGATTGAGTGGGCTAACAGAGAACGAAAGTATCTGAAACTGTGGAGAGATTTTATGAGACAAAAACTCCATCAGAATTGGCATTCATCGGTCAAAGATGTAAAACGCACGTGCGGGTGGACTTGGTTGCTCACCCCTCATCACTAACCCAAAGGCGGCTAATCAATTTCAATAACATATGCTAAAAAACATTACTTTATACAATGGTTAATCTGCATAATTATATATTAATAATGCATTAATAATATCGGCGCCCCAATGTCAAATCTAAATCAATAAAACTCCCATGCATCGATCGATCGAGAATTTGATCGGTTGTGTTACCAGCCGCAGTCAAACCGAGACTGAAATGCTCGAGCACCGCAGCCGCTGCCGTCTCTTGTTCACGGCCGCCGACATCATTAGTGTCACCGGTAACAATGGCACCGAACTGTTTCATTTCTCTCTTCACGTGAACATTTTTGCACCTACTTGCTGCTCTCTTCAATTCAACCCTATAATGCAACGAACTCAACTTATCTTCCTCCTTGTGAAACGTGATTCCTTCGCCGGCGTTCAAGCCGTTTCCGAGAACGAAGCGCCTCCAACCCTTGGAGAGAACCGGTTTCTTATATCGTCCTTTCCTACGAACGGTGCACACAATCGGCCACTCGACGGTATCACACGTGACTAGCAATTCCACTGCATGGCCGCCATGGAACTCGGGAAATGAGCTTAAAACCCTACTCGGGATGGACAATCTTTTGAGGCAATCCGTCTCAGTTAGGTTCTTCGAGAAGATCTTCATTCTTGAAAAAGAAAAAGAAAATAATGGGTTTTGGTAAATGTAACTTTGTTGGTGAGGTTCTAATCCCTTGAGTTCAGTCCTCTTATATATGTACATAAATCGAGTTCACTAAGGAACCAAGTGGGTGGACGAACGCTATCGCACGATCGTGTGCAACCAGCAATGGGTTTTGTTAGCTACTCGAACGCTTATCGCACGATTAATTGTCTCTGACTTACCATTGGGCATGCTGTTGTGGTTTTAGTTTTTTAATTTAAGAAATTAAAATAAATGATTTATTTTAGTCAATATAAGAAAGTTGGCCAAGGTTTGAGGGTCAAAATAATCAAACCCTATAGGACTCAAAGTGATGCGACCGACACGAAAGCGACGGTGTCAATTGATGCACATAAGACTGCGTACGTTGAACGTTATTAAGATTATCCACAGCGGAATGAAGGGTCTATTCTTAATACTTCCAGAACTCGAGGATAAAAAGAAACTCTTTCCAGAACATCCACCCATATCAGGGCTTGTTTCTGCCGGCCTCGTTTTAACGGATCGTCACTGAACATTGAACGGCGTCAAATGTTAACAAATCCAATTTGTTCACGCAATCTCTGTAAACACAATTACCTTCCTAACCATGCATTATTCCACATTCCACCTCAACTTTTCTTTGTAAAAGTATTTAGGGTAAATTATCATTTACTATTTAAACTATCACTTTTTATTTGTTTTAGTATTTAAGCTTTTAATTTTTTTTCAAAATCATACCTGAACTTTAATTTTTGTTTCATTTTAGCATCCGTTCAAAATTTAACGTTAAGTTCTAAAAAAATTGAAAGATTAGGTACTAAAACGGATCAAAACTGATAATTTATGTATTAAACACGTTAAGTTTTTTAACGGAGGAGTACTAAAATGAAATAAAAACTAACTGTTAAATATGATTCATAAAAAATTAAAAGTTTAAGTACTAAAACGGATCAAAACTGATAGTTTATGTACTACACGCCTAATTTACCCAAATATTTTTACCAATAAAAGTTCGTCTGAGAAAATTTTAAAATATTTTTACTGATTTACCCAAAATCATCTTCATTTCCACTGTTTATGCCAAACGAAATCCTCCAGCCCCAGTTCATCCTATATTCTTGTAGCTGAATTGAATCGCCAGAACACTGAATTCATATTCATAAAAGTTCCTTTTCAATCCTAACGTTATTTAGAGAAAACGAAAGATGTCCAATTCAAGCAGGACTAGGACAGGTGTTAAGCTTTACCCAACAAGCCAAAAAAATAGAGATTCAAACTACTTCAAATTCAGTGAGGACCAGTACTGCTAGATTAATATTCCAAAGGAACGCCCCAAAAGGTAGCTGGAATTAGAAAACAACAAAACTAAAAGGAATGTTGACTTCATGACTTAGCTTACATAGTTTAATTTAATATGGGCAAAATTGTTCATATAGGCAAAGAAAAAAATTCATACGGAGTCTCGCCGGGTTTATTTTTTGATCTAGTGTAAATATCACAATGCTCGTCGAGAGACGACAGAAGCATAATGTGTCTTTGAGAAGACGCAACGACCAGAGTGTATCTTCTGTTTTGTTTCTATGGTAATCTTGACGTTCCACCGTGAAAAATAGAAAAGAAAGGAAAAAGCATATTGTGTTACCGGAATCTTCTCTGACACTAGCATATTGGTCTATATTATGCTTGTACAAGAAAAGACCTCGATATTACGAGTAATTGAAACTTTGAACTGTGGACATGGGTCGATGGGCTTCGGCCCCTTGTTTAGACAACGGCAAGGCAGAGACGTGATGGATTTGTTTAATTATACATTGCACAAATACAAAACACCCTAGGAATATATTACACATGAACTCCCACAACTTCTATGCCAAAAAAAAACCCCATGCTTTCGCTCCATATAAACGATGATAATAGAAACAGAAGACCAAAATAGAACACTCTGAGATCAATCGAGATTTAAAGGAAAAAAAGAAAATAATAATTATGTAATTATTAAAAATACATCTTCATGACACATAAAGAGGATTGTGAAGAGTTGTAGGCGACCTTTTCTTCTTGAAAATCCAATCACCAAGCAGAGGAACAATGGGTTTCTTCTTCATCAACTTCCTCTCTCTTTTCCCTCCGAAATGCCCTTCCTTTTCACCTATACTCGGTATCTGAGACTGAGACAACGTCGGGTTGTTCTCCATTCGTTTCATCAACTCCTTTCTTCTCTCTTCCTCCCTCGCTATATCTTCTCCCTTCCCCATCTCCAAACTCGCTGTCCTCGGCGTCGGCGTCGTCTCCGCCGCGTTTTTAGCCGCAGCAGCCTCGGCTATGGCCAGCTTCGACATGTTCTTATGAAGTTCAGCGTTCAATGAAGCCAACACAATCTCCGTTTCGGATTCTCTTTCCTTGAGTAGCTTCAGCTCCGCCTTTGTTTCCTCGAGCTCGGTCTCCAGCTTCTTTAAGGTATCGAGAACCTCTCGTTGATCATCTTGTTTACGGCTCAGAGGAGTACTACCCGGTGAAAACCAGGCCACCTCTTGGCTCGGAGGGCGGCTGTAAGTGTAAGGCTTCGGAGTGTATATCTCTCCGACGAGAAACCGCTCGCTGAAGACGGCGACGGCTTCTTTGACGGTGCGAAAAGGGCGGGAAGTGTCGACATTGGAACGATAGTTTTTTGGTGGCTCTGTAGCCGCCGGAACAGGGACTTGGGTGTCCATGAAAGAAGGTTGAGATCAAATGAGAAGAAATGTATGTGTTTTCGCGTGTAGATTATGGAGAAGGAGAGGATGTATTTGATAATGAATCTGAGATTTCTTTGCTTTTACCGCAAAAGATTGTAGAGAGAGAAAGATTGTTGTTTGAAGGTTAAGCCTTGGAGTTGGAGGTAGGGTAAGTGGACTGCTCAACTACCGAGAATGAATGATTTTTTTAATATGTTGATCAATCTTTTCAAATAATTTAAATCAGTAGAAAAGATATTAAAATTATTTAAAGTAATAATATGATTTTATATTAAATTAAAAATCAAAATTAATAAATTAAAATTCAATAACTAAATTGAATTGAAAATAAATGATAAGTGTCACTTGACAAACAAGCTATTCGATGAATATGTACGAATCAAAAGGTCTTAATAATAAAAAAATTGTTGTTATTCTTTGAGATCTCGAATTTGAGTACCATGAATATTAATAGCATGAACGTTTAATGTCAAATGATTAAAATTTTTTTAGAAGAGATAACTTTTTTTCATAAAAAAATTATGTGTATCGTAAAACTCCCTCCTAACTCAATCCGATCAAAACGGCTGAAGGGGAAAATAGTTATGTACTATTTTATTGAATAACTTACACAACGAGAAACAATCAATAACTGAAACAATATGTTTACCGGATAGAAAAATAGCCTAAAAGCAATTTACCAACATCCACAACCATTGTAACTCAATGAGAAATAAACTATAGAAACAATATTTAAATGGATACTATATTGTATTTATCTCAAATTAATAAAAAAATATTTGGTCAACACGATAAAATATTATGAAAAACTATACTTATGTGTCATTGTCTTATACTACCTAAATTTATTGTTATTATTAAACAAATAGGGGATAAGGGTGGAAACAAAGTTTCATATATATATATATATATATATGATGAATTTTTGTGAATACAATAAACATTCATACCCTTAACATCTTTGGTGTTCGAACCCGATACCTTAAGGATAACAACAAGTCTCTTAATTGTTAAGATCGATCGGTTCGTGCTTATAGGAAATATAGGAATTCAAACATATTTCTATAACCCCTAAGGGGGTGTTTGGTTCAAGGATTGTGAGATTCTCATGGGATGAGAATCACACATTCCCATGTTTGGTTGGCCGGGAATCTCATTCCCGGTAATGTTTTATTACCAATAGTAGATTTTTTGGGGTATATTACTGGGAATGTCATTACCTCCATTCCCTTAGCTATTGTAACATTACCGACGTTTTGGACTAAAATGCCCTTAATTTTTTATTTTTTTCAAAAACATCATTCTTCTGTCATTGAATAATAAAAATTCTACGAAGGTTAAATTACAAATTTATCCTTAAATTATTTTAGATTTAGAAAAAAAATCTATAATTAAAATTTTATATGAAGTTCAGGGATTAAATTTTTTTTACCCTTTCATTAAACTTTTTTTATATTTTTAATTTTGTAAAAAAATTATATAAATATTATGAATTTATAATTTTTTAAAGAAAATATATAAATATTTTACAATTTGTAATATTATACAAATATATAATAAGAACAATTTGGTCAAATATACATTCTAATAATATTTTATTCCTTTAACTAAACACGATAATCTTACATTCCTGCTAAACCAGCCAAACACAAAATACAACATTCCCAGTAATCCTATTCCCCTGGTAATCTTTTATTCCCACTGGTAATCTTACATTCCGTGAACTAAACGCACCCTAAGTGATTGTCTATCCTTTTTAGCACAATTCTTTACACTATCAAGTTGGGTAAATGAAATTTTAAACATTAAATTGATTTTCAGGGTCATACATACTAGCTTAGAATTTTGTTGCCTAGAATTTTCAGGGTCATACATTTCTATAATTATGTTTATTAGATTTGTTTTCGATGTGTGTAGAAATCGACTTAAATCGAAAAAATCGAATAACATGTCTTTTGTTAAGTTTTGTCACGAAGATTCGATATTTCGACATGTCCGAGTACGTGCCAACAATTTTATTATACTTTTTTTTCATTTTTAAAACTAAATTTTAAAAAAATTTAAAGTATGAGACTAAAATAAAATTTTACAGAAAGACAACTATATAATAAAATAGAATTATAAGTTTAAGGAAGAAACATGAAATTTTAGTTCACTTAAAATTGATTTCTAAAAATTCGTATTTTAATTATTTCACTTTTATTGTAAATTTTTATTTTCTATACAGCTTTTTATATACAAGTATATAATAAAAATATAATTATTGTAAATTTTATTTTCTATACAATTTTTTATAATCTTTTACTTCTTTAATTTTATTTTAATATCAATATTTTATAATTTAACCAGAGAATGTGCTCATATGTGACATCGATCTAAATGCAAGTTTTTGAAAGAAAACGCACTTCAATTGATTTGCTTAACGGTTACAATATTTTGCAGAACTATAAAGTAGACTGTAGACGTTGCTTTTGGAAGTTTGGACCGTGGTAGGGTTTCGGCGCCAGAATTTTCCTCTTCCTATTTACAGATTTCACTTCAATAATTCTGAATTCACTGCGTTTAACACAGTCGCAAAGAGAAGCCAGAATATGGCCCCGAAAAAGAAGCCGCAAAAGCAAAGCAACCAGAAACCCACTTCCTCTTCTTCTTCTTCATCTAAAGTCAATCAACCGTCATCGTCCGCCCCGCGGCTTCAGATATCGGCGGAGAACGAGCACCGACTACGTCGGCTTTTACTCAATTCCGGTCACTCCACCCAATCACAAACCGATCCGAATCATCCTCGAGATTCTCTATCCAAAGCTCAGAAGGCAAAGAAACTCAAAGCCGTTTACGAGAAGCTTTCTTGCGAAGGTTTCTCTAATGATCAAATTGAACTGGCTCTCTCCTCTCTCAAGGTTATATTATTTAAGTTTTTGATATATTTTTTCTTATAATTTTATTATTTTTGTTTTTTTTCCTCATACGAATATATTGATTGACCAGTTTACATACTTTCATTGAGTAGGATGGTGCTACTTTTGAAACCGCTCTCGATTGGTTATGCTTGAACTTACCTCGAAATGAGCTTCCGTTGAAGTTCTCGAGTGGAACTTCTTTGCATTCAGATGGAGGTATATATAAATGTATATTTGCGTCTGTGACTGTATGTGTGTGGATTTCTTTTAAAATGTAATGATCGAGTGCAATGCCTAATGTGTCTTGCCACTGATGTTTTAAGATTATGAGTTTTTATTATCTTTATCTCTGGATAAATTTTATCTTCCAGTATAGTATTTTATTAGTAGTTAACTACTAAGTGTTCAATAGGAACATATGTATACTATTACGGCATATTACAAAATAAGTAGAACTTAAGTTTTCATTTTTCTTTCTGTTTTTTCAACCGTGTCACTGATGTTGTATTCTGTTGATGTCTCTGCTGTTTTGGTTTAGGGTTTATTTAATTGAATTCTTTATTCCTTTTCTGGAATTTATTTAAAATGGTTTTGACAAATTGTTTGTCTTTCAGGATGAAAACACTTGGGAGGATGAAGCAAGTGATGAGGGTTCAGCCAAAGAGGTATTGCTAACTTTTTTTTTCCTGTTCTTTCTCTATCTTTTAATTATAATATAAAAGAACCAAATGGAGTTCCACTTGATAACTAACATTTCAGTCATTTATAATTATCTTAGTTTAGCTACTATGACAAGGTCTAATTTCATTCTTTATGCGATCTCTCTCTCTCTACATATATTAATAGGTTTCTGGGCCAAGGCCTTATGATGTTATTGCAAAAGAATACCATGCAGCACGATTAGAAGCGACAAAAGCTAAGGAAAAGAAGGACAAAAAGGGCCAGGAAAAAGCAGGCATTATAATCCGCAAACTCAAGCAAGAGTTATCCGCCTTAGGTGGTTTGTAGTTCTTTTGATGGTTTATGTTAAAAGATTTGTCTCTTGATTTATTTGTGATGATGAGTTGTTTAATTTTGCTGATCAGGATTATCAGATGATATCTTAGCATCAGATTTTTTGCTTGAACGAGCATCTGCTTGTGTGTCTGAGGCCACAGCCACTGGTTCCATGTCTGAAGAGCAGCCTGAGATAATATCTTTTGGGCATGAAGAAGACAATTCTGCAACCCCTGTGATAACTTTGGGTGACACAACAGGCACCTTAAATGACACAGAGACCTCTAAAGAGTCTTCTACCAATTCTGTTCCTTCTTTATTGCCTGATCAAGAAAAAGGTGACTCCGAAAATATGTCAGAAGATATGGAGATCGGTGATTTCTTCTTAGAAGATTCTCCAATTAATGATGCTGTTGCTTCTGAAGTACTAAAATTGCAGAAAAACGAAGAGATGAAAGAACTATACAATGAGAAAAATATGGAGAAATTGGATGGAATCTGGAAGAAGGTAATGCCCAAAATGCAATGATCTTGTGAGGTTAATAGTACTGATGATTGGTGTTAAGGTATTAAGCATGTATCTCCTTTAACTTTACATAAATGACTGTGAACTTGCAGCGCGATGATTTTAATACTCTGCTGAGTCTGAGTCCTGATTTTTTTTTATTTTCAGTTTCATACGAGTGCCTTATCAATCCCCTTCTTAACTTCAAATGTTTGATTTTTCCCTTGTTCTATCTGAATTCATTCTCACATTCAGGATATGATCTAAATAATGACAGGGAGAATCAAAAAAGATTCCTAAGGCTGTTCTTCATCAATTATGTCAAAGATCAGGGTGGGAGGCGCCAAAATTTGATAAACTACCTGCCAAAGGTAAAAGTCTTGCTTATTCTGTTAGTGTGTTTACGTAAAGCTAGCGGGAGGGGCAAGAGCAGAAAAGCTGGGGGGCTAATCACCCTTCAGCTTCCTAATGAGCAAGAAGCTTTTGAATCCGCTGAGGTACTTGTTTGTCCTTATGCTTCATGATGATAATATACTGTGATTAAGAATGAACAGTGCAATTCTATTGGTGTCAAAACAATTAGAAGATGAATAATCGTGGACAACATTGGAGGAAAGTACTTAGTTCCTATCCTTCCCAGAATCTTGGATGCAGGATTAGCATTTATTCTTTATGCATACAGACATGTTGATTCACAAACTTGTTCTGAATGTGAATATGACGAATAAACATTTTTTCCTTCAACTGAATGCCTTAAATGGTAAATTCAGACCTTTTACTCTGATTCGTGGTGTCTGGTCCTCAGGTTGATCAACCATAGTTTTTAGTTTGTCTTCGAGAGGAGTGGCGATGGACTAGGAATATTATTTTCTACATTTCATAAGGATTGACAGCAATTTTTCTTTTTTAAAAAAACAAGTCTGTTTTCTTTGATATAGGATAGGTACTGAGAACTAGTTTAATTTCATCCTTCAATAAAGTTTTTATGAATAAATAGTCTCAGATGCTCTGTAAACATGCTAATTTTATATTACTGGCTCTCTTCACCTTCAATCTTTTACTTAATATTTATTATCGTGAATAACATTTTTATTATTAAAATGTGAAATGACTTATCTGAGTTTGCTGCACGAGAGGGTGTAATCTAACAGTGTGCTTGGAATTTTATTTGACAGTTACAAACATAATTTTAGGACATATTCTGCCTTCTTTTGGACTGACCTTTGTCATGCTATCTTGTGTCTCTGTTGTTTCATTTCCCCAATCTATGTTGCGTCTGTTCTGTTAAGGCTGTGTTATGTTAGTTCTCATGTGATTGGTATATGACTGAATGTGAGCTTTTTCCTTTCTCTTGTTTAGTAAATAAGCATGTCTTACAGATAAAATATTTAAAAATGGTTATTTACCTCCTTGATTTAACTACAGGATTCACAGAACAGAGTTGCAGCATTTGCTCTTTGTCAGTTGTTTCCAGATCTTCCTACTCAGCTAATACTGACTGAGCCATATTCTTCTCTCATTTTTCAATGGAAAGGAGGTGATAAGATAAACATTCATTTTGTATTCAGAAATGCAAAATAACTCTTAATAACTTTGTGTTATTTATGCTAATGGTGTTATGGCATCTTTACTAGTAGCGTGCTGGATCTTCTTTCAATTTCTGGTTCAGTTTGTTTGTATTGATGTTTTCCTATCAAATCAATGGTTCAGCATAAGGAATAAAAGAGATATTTATCAGAGTGCTAAAAGCAAGGTGTCACTGCTTTCAATGTTTATTAACATATTTGAACACTTTCAGGGGAATCATTGACCAAAATAGAAGACAGTGAGGCAGATCGAAGGGCTGGTTTTGTGGATCGGTTATTGAGTGCCGATGATTCCAGGTCAAAGGCTCCTAGTCATGATACTAATTCTCTTGCTTTAGATGAGCACCAGAAGACCTGCATTGAAGATAATGAAGTCCCTATTTCTTCTGTAGCTGATCCAATAACTGAAAGTATGTTATTTTATTCTTTTGGCACATTTGTAGTAAATTATTTGGCCAAATTTGCTGCTGACTTGAAATATGAAATGTTTTAAGAAGTTGAACCCCATTGTTTTGCATGTCCTTTCAGTTTCAGTTTCAGTTTCAGTTTCCATTTTCCTTTTCTTTCCTCCTTAGGAAATGTTCTTTTAATCCATCTATGAGAGACCCTATCCTATGCAAAATAGTTTGAATTGACTAGGAATTGTGATGGATATTTTGTTCATAAATCTTTTAGATATTGTTTGGGGTACTTTGAATGTGCTTACATACTCGATTAAATGAGGAAATATTGGATAGATTGCTATGAGAAAATAGCATAATTGTTCAATTTGAGATGAAGATCTATAGTGGTATTTTGACTAATGGTGTTGTAATATACTAATAATCTCTTCAATTCGATGCATCATATTGCAGAGAGAAGCCATGCAAAAGAAGCAGAAAGTTTATATTTGAGACAGGAAGCAGAAAAGAGAAAGCATACACAGAAATACAAGGTTGGTGTATTTTTATAGCTCTCTCTCTGGAAAATAGTAATTGGATTCATTAAGAATTGAGTATAAACTATTTATTTACTTGTTTTCTGAACTGATTCTACTATTTTTGTTGCTTTCTAATTGGATTTCTTTTGAATATTGTTTTTTCTTTCGGGGGGGGGGGGGATCTAATAGTTCAATTTCACCACACTGAAGTAGTTTTAACTTACTATCTGCTAATGATTATTATGAAGTTTACTAGCTCACTTACGTGAAATACATGTTATAGTTTAGTTTAGCTCTGATTTTGTTTGGGGGAAAGTGGGGAGGATAGATTTTGAATTTTGTGGTGCCAATCTCATTATCCAGAATCTGATGTCAGAATTTATTGATGTATGTACACCAAGAGACTAAAAGGATATGATGTTTATTGTAGTAGATTATCAACCTTCCACATGTATTTCTTGGTGTAGTTTTATAGCTGGAATTGAATAGCTCTTAAAACTAAAGTTCTGGTGTTTTGAGAATGTTATAAAAACCTTGATACCTAAAGAGCGATGTGGTCTACCCCTCTTGGTAGTGATCTAGGCAATCTCACTCATGATTACTTTTTTGATTCACATTGCGCATTTTATGTTGTTGATGTGAACATCATGCCTTTTCCCGCAAATTGTACTGTTGCTCCTTGGTTTGCAATGCATTCGACTATTACCATTAAGAGTTCTATACTTTTTCTTGTTAATGTTTTCAGGAGATGTTGAAAACTAGAGCCGCTCTTCCTATCGCTGCTTTGAAAAATGACATTTTGCAACTGCTAAAGGAAAATGATGTTCTTGTTGTTTGTGGTGAAACAGGATCTGGAAAAACCACGCAGGTTTAATCTTTTATTTCCCTTTTCAATGTGCAAACCCTTATCTTTTATGAGCCTCCTTGGCCCACTTAGCTTGGGTTTCATGTTTCTTGTGGGGTTTGTCACATTACTAATTTCTTTTTTCCTTTGAAAATTAGCCTTATGTTTTTGTTCTCTAAATGTAGGTACCTCAGTTTATATTGGATGATATGATTGAATCAGGATATGGTGGAGATTGTAATATAATATGCACACAACCAAGGAGAATAGCGGTGGGTGAATAATGTGCCAATAAATGCGTAACTCTAATTTTTCATGCACATTCATTACTAATTCACTCTCCCTTAAAAATTCAATTACCTATGAGAGGTTAATTGTGTCCACCTTTCTCCTCTATCCTCTCTTTGTCGCTCTAAGATGTTTCTGGAAAATTTTTCGTTTTGCAGATATGATTAGAATAGAAGAAGCCGGGCTCTGTTTTCACAAAGAAAGAAAACTCATAAAGGACCAATTGTATATTAGTGCCAATAATGCACATTAAGTTTCAAATAGTGCTTCATCTATTTAAAATCTTTTAGCACTGGGTATGCAGTACTTTGTAAAATGCCCGTTCAACTGGGAACTAGAGAGAAGAATCTGAGTATTTTAGTATGTCCAATATTGCAACTAGAAAATCTGAAGTAATATGTTGTATCAACAGAGTTCTTTTTGTTTTCGAGTTCACCCCTGTTAGTGTGTTATTGCAAATTTCATTTACGTTTTCATATATAATATACATATATATTTCTACATATTTAGTAAAAGTCTTGTGCGGTTTGTCTTATACTTGCAGGCAATTTCTGTTGCTGAGCGAGTTGCTGATGAGCGTTGTGAACCATCTCCTGGTTCTAATGGGTCGTTGGTTGGTTATCAAGTTCGTCTAGAAAATGCTAGGTGTTTACCTCCTTATCTCATAAGTTACTATAATGTGCTAATTGCAATTGTTGTGTCTAATATAGATTGCAATGCAAAGGAGTAATACATTGGTGACCTTGCTCTCAGAAATGAGCTGCAACAATTCTGTCTATATTCTTTAAATATTTTCTTTATGCTATTTCTTAATGAAATCTATTTGGTGTCAGATTTGTCTTGTGCATTGTGGCTTGTTCAAGTTTTCTAATCTCACAATTAGGGGTTATATTATGAATACTTTTTGTACAATCATTCTTCATCATTTACTGATTTTGCTAACTGCATGATGGTTTACTGATGATTAGGAAGGCTTAAGATAGTTGCTTGTTAAGGATACTTTATTGTGTTTCTTCGGATACGAAGGAGTTTTTTAATGAGACCTCCCGTTTCTATAAAAAAAAAAGGAGCATGAAAAACATTTCCTTTGATTTTCCGCCTTTTTTGTCTTGAATCACTATGTAAGGTGACAAATATTGTTCCTACTATTTTTTAAGCTTTACATTTCTTTTCTTATGTTGTAATTGTTCACTTTGTTTAGGTAGAAATTGTATTTGCCTTAATAGCCCACTTGTTGCATTTGAAAAAATCATAAAGGCGAATGTGCTTTCTCTCTCTCTCTCTCTCTTGTCTTGAATAACAAATTTCTTATTGGTTATACTGTATTTTCTAAGAATGAGTGTCGAAACGATTTTTTCTTCAAAATGTGAGATTTTGAAAACCACATCAATTTTTAACTTATTTTGTTCAATTGATTTTTAATTTAAAAACAAATGTGATTTAAAAGACCTCTCGTTCCGAAAAATTTTGAATTTTCTTTACGATCGAAAAATACAGTTTGAAGAGTCGCCACCAATCTTTGATTTGGGTGTGATTGGGCACCCAAAAATGCTTTGTCATTTTAAATAAAAATTAATTTTAATTAAAACCACAAATTGAGATCTGCGTTAACAAAATCTGAGTTCGGGAGTCGGTTACGTGTGGGGAAGGATTAGCACCCCCACAACGCCCTAAATCGGTACCTAGTCGATTAATTAACGTCTTTGCAATGAACTTTACAAATTCGAATTTATTTTGATTTTTGATCCCATAAAACAATGACGTAAATTTAAAAACATTCAAAAACACTCAAACAAATTAAATTAAAATTACCAAGTCGTTTTAGAAAGATAAAGAATGTTCGATTATTTATAAATATCGAGACCATATCTTAAAGATATAACAACCTTTTCTCGATATATTTAAATAAACGAACATTTCCTTTTCTCTCGTTCCCAAATTTTAGGTGACGAATCAATTTTTTTGGTTTCACTTTCGGGATACACTTTTATTTTAAAATCATTAAAAGCGGACCTCAAATCAGTTATGACTGCCCAATTAAAACAATTTTAAATTAAAAGGGTATTACCCTTAGTCCGATTATGTAATATGTCGAGTTATGCAAATGAGGTTGCCATGCGAATCGTGCAAAAAAATATCATGTCAAAATTAATTAAACAAAATTAAAAATATCATACAACGTGACATACAAAAAATTATATATACATATTTTAATTAAAAATCATAAACCATGCATATTAACATATTATGTATACATGTGACCTAAATATATAAAAAAATCATAACATGCTAAATTATAAATTAAAATATATATATGTACATATTAAAAAGTGACTAAATTTAAATAAATGTAAAATTCAGCTTGAAAATAAAAAATAAACCTAGGGCCTAAACATAAGCATACACATAAACAAGGGACCTACACGTGAAAAACCTAACAAAATTATAACTAAAATTAAAACTGAAAAACAGTGAAATTAGGACAAACACAAAAGGTTAAATTCTAAAGTAGTCTTAAAGGTGACTAAAGTGTAGATATATGACTACATTACAAGGGCACCATAGCAAATTATCCTAACATTTAGATGGCTGGAAACTAATTAACCCAAAACTATTAATAAATAAAACCTAAACTAAGTAAAAATCTAACCTAATTATACACAGAACCTACCCAACCTCAAGCTTCCCTCTTCAGCTTCCTTAGCTCACGCCCCACTCTTCATTTCTTCTTCAACTCTCCCCCTCTCATTACTCTACTGACCAGAAAAGGAGGCCGACTGTCACTTTCCTCCTTCAAACACCATCGCCGCCGTTCGACCTCCGCCCTAGTGGCCCACTCTCCACTCGACTGCAGCCTCTTATCGCCTTGTCACTTCATTCGAGTTCTTCGCCGGGAATTGAAGTAAGTAATCGGAAGTGTAATCGTTGGGTAGAATGACGAAAGATTCTAAAGACTTGTAAATAATCTTAGGGGCTGTAATTTGGGACTTATGATAGGAAAAGAATGAGCTTTAGATTTAATTTGGGTCTCGTAATGTCGTTAAACCAACAATGGTGTCTATCAAAGTTGGGTTTGAAACTAATTTACGAAGTCAAATGGGGCTTTCGTGGGTCTCGATCGAAGGAGACGAAGGGTAAAGAAGACAGAATAAATCATTTAGGGCTTTTTAGATCGTTGTTTAGGCTCCTCCGAGATTACTTGAGGTAACCGAAGAAAACGATGGTCACCAAGTGCAGTATACAGTAGGAATTTAAATGCTTTTGTAGCTTTCAACCATTGCTGCCGAGAGTTCCCCAGACAAAAATTTCAAAGACAGGTAAACTCAAAGTTCTCTCACCATTTTCTACTTATTTCTCTTAAGAATTCGCCTCTAACTTACGAATGGTGGCTACTCAAGGAAACCTAACTCTCATTAACATCCCAACTACACGCTATGTGATAGCCACAATACAAGTGGAAAAAAAAACTAAGCAAGATAATGTAACTAGTTCATCTTATCTGTATTTTCACTTACTTAGAAATAAAAACATTCATGGAAATTGCTAGCAATTAAATTAATGATAGGAAATACCAAGAAAATTGCTCCTTGCTTAATATTGCTTTCCTGAAAAATGAGTCTGTTACACTGCTTGATCTCTTTCTCCCTATATGTTTTCTGTTGTTTTTTTTAGAATGGTCTCTGTTTTTTTTTCTTCTCTTGCTTTTTTCTGTGCTCTCTCGTAGTTGATATCCCTTCTCCCCAAATCATCCCCCAATTTCCAGTAGTTAATCCCCTAAAAAAAACTGACCCCCCAACATTTTTTTCTGGTTTTTAACTCCCCAGAACTGCTTTCATTTGAAAATGATATAGGCCCCAGACAAATTAAGCATCTACAGCTGCCCATCTTTGCTCATTGATGTGTAACGAGAATAAGGAAAAGATCAAAAGATGATCGAATTTGTCTGGTCATGAGAACTTCAAAAAAAAAAATAAACCACTCACTGTTACGTCAGGATAAATAAGACTTGAAAAATCTTCAAATAACGAGCTTGCTCCCTATTCCTTCAGGAAGTATAAGACTCGAACAATCTTCATAAAATGTGTCTGCTCTCTATTCATTCAGAGAGTATAAGACTTGAACAATCTTAAAAAAAACGGGTCCGCTCTCTATTCCTTCAGAGAGTATAGAACTAAGAAAATCTTCAATAAACAGGTCCGCTCCCTATTCTTTCAGAGAGTATAGGACTCAATCTTTAACAAACGTGTCCGCTCCCTATTCCTTCAGAGAGTATAGAACTCGAGCAATCTTCATAAAACGGGTATGTTCTCTATTCCTTCAGAGAGTATAGAACTCGAACAATCTTCAACAAACGTGTCCGCTCTCTATTCCTTCAGAGAGTATAGAACTCGAACAATCTTCATGAAACGAGTCCGCTCTCTATTCCTTCAGAGAGTATAGAACTCGAACAATCTTCAACGAACTTGTCCGCTCCCTATTCCTTCAGAGAGTATAGGACTCAATCTTCAACAAACGAGTTTGCTTCACTACTCTTCCGTGAAGGCTTATAGATGATTAGCTTCACTACTCTTCCGTGAAGGCTTAAGTTTGAATTGTTTCAAAGGTCCAACCTGAAAATCAAACATTACCAATCATTAATGTATGTTTGAAAATATTATACTCAAAAATTTAGATTTTGATAAAATTTCTGAAAATCCATCTCAATCGCGAAAACTTGTCTGGAAACCATTGGATACGCGAATCTGCTTTGGCTTAGTTTTCGTATAAACATCATTCTTTTCAAAATCTCAAAACCAGTTATATTCATCTCGATGCTTCAATATCTTCAATCTTCAACTATCCCTGTGAAACCTGTAAATATTTAAGTCATCATGCAATTATGAATGCCATGATCCTATTCATGCCTAAAATGTATGCAATTATGCAATTTAATGCATTTTCTTCTTCGAAGGAACACCATCTCCTTTGATCTCGATGGAACTCGGTTTCATCTTGGGCATAGAACATTTGACCAGTTCGCCCCAGCTAACAATCTCAATTCCATATTTCTCAGCTTAATAGGGCCTTGACTTCTTTCTTTCCTGAAAACCCACCAGTACCCATAACCAACTTCTTAATTAATGACAATCTCTTTAGGTCTTCTTCTCATGGCTGAGATTTTCTATGAATTTCAAGATTTCATTTTCCCGTAACCACACAAGCTTACATGTTAAAACCATCATCAGCTTCAGAATACCTGCATTTTCTAAAACCTTTGTGCACAATAATACAAAATGATCTCATGTACTTCAAGTTAAGTTATATGTTTTAACTTTTCAAAATAAGATGCTTACAAAAGGGAAACGAACAAGGAAAGACATCTCTTTATTTATATAAATGTCGAGAATTTTCAGGTAACTACATGACAAACTTTTAACTAGAAGAAGTAAAAGAACAAAAGAGTAGGCTTCTTCAAATATCAATAATGCAAATGCTTTTGAACTGGCACGCCGTTAGAATGTCTCGAGTGTAGCTTCTATCTAAAAGATCTCCAAAATTGTGATGCTTAAGAGTATGAAGCTACTTCTAAACTCCCAAATCTCTATCATTGGATGCCCTAAACCAGTATTTAATCTCATGTGCATTCAATTTCTCTCCTGGTTATTTCAATCAAGACTCATTAATCTTTAGTCTCAATCTTGATTACCAACTGTCATTGTTACTATCCATATCAGGAGCTCTTTCCACTTCCAAAATTGATTCAGAACCTCCACCATGCACGAATCCTGAATTTCAAACTCAACTCAAGTCGCCCTTTGTGGGTTTTCAACTTGAGACCTCCTTTGGTTCCAAGATGCCCTTTTCGGGTTTTCATCTTGAACCCTCATTTTTATTCTTCTTTTTTTATTTTTCTCTTTCATTTTTTCTTCCATTTTCCATTTTTTCTCTTTTTTTCTTTTCGTTTTTTCCATCATTTTTCCTTTTTCTCATTTTTCTTTTCTTTTTTTTTTCTTCTTCTCATTTTTATTATTATTTTTTTCATTTTTTCTTTTTCTCTTTTATTTCTTCTTCAAGTGAAATATCTCTTAACAACGTCGGAATTCACTGGATATGGTAATTCTGATCCGTCCATTTCAGTTAGGACTAGAGCTCCCCCAGAAAAGGCTTTCTTGACAGCATAAGGTCCTTCCCAATTGGGCATCCATTTTCCTCTGAAATCCTTATGAATAGGCAAAATCCTTTTAAGCACCAAATCTCCCTCATGGAATTCTCGAAGGCGAACTTTCTTACCATGTGCCCGTATCATACGTTTTTTGTACATCTGACCATGACAAATAGCTTTCAATCTCTTTTCTTCAATCAAATTCAACTGGTCATACCTAGCCTGAACCCATTCTGCCTCATCTAGCTTTACTTCTGAAAAAATCCGAAGTGAGGGAATTTCCACCTCAATAGGTAAGACAACTTCTATCCCATATACCAGAGAAAATGGAGTTGCCCCAGTTGACGTTCGTACAAAAGTTTGATAGGCAAACAGAGCAAATGGAAACTTCTCATGCCAATCTTTATAGGTCTCAGTCATCTTCTCTATGAGCCTTTTGATGTTCTTATTAGCCGCCTCTACTGCCCCGTTCATCTTTGGGCGATAAGTGGTGGAATTAAGATGCTTTATTTTGAACTGTTTACAGACCGAGCCCATCATCTTATTGTTTAAATTCAACGCATTATCGGAGATAATCCTCTCTGGTAAACTATATCTACAAATGATCTCATTCTTTAAGAATTTGCATATTGTAGACTGGGTAACATTTGCGTAAGAAGCCGCTTCTACCCACTTGGTGAAATAATCTATGGCTACCAGAATGAAGCGATGACCATTTGAAGCTTTGGGCAAAATTTGTCCAATAACATCCATGCCCCACATTGAGAATGGCCACGGAGCTATCATTACGTGCAACGGATGAGGAGGAGTATGTATCCTATCTCCATAAATCTGACATTTGTGACATTTTCGGGCATAATTGATACAGTCTGTTTCCATAGTTGACCAATAATACCCAAATCTCATAATCTACCTAGCCATAGCATGCCCATTAGCATGGGTACCATATATTCCCTCATGCACTTCTTCAAGAATCAATTTGGCTTCTTTCGCGTCCACACATCTTAACAAGACCTGATCCAGACTTTTCTTGTATAGAGTCTCACCATCAAGCACATACCCTGATGCTATTCTTCTAATGGTTCTCTTATCATTCTCAGTGGTTTGTTCTGGATAACTCTGATACTTTATATATTGCAAGATATCATAATACCAGGGGTTTCCATCTTCTTCCTCTTCAATATTAAAACAATGGGCTGGATACTCATAAGCCTTCATTTCAATGGGCATCATATTTGAATGCTCGTTTATCTTAAACGCTGCTGCCAGTGTGGCTAAGGCATCTGCCATTTGATTCTCTTCTCTGGGGAGGTAGTTGAAAGTTACTTCTTCAAATTCTTCAACAAGTTCCATAACCAACTTACGGTATTCTACAAGCTTGGGATCTTTTGTCTCACATTCTCCTCTGAGCTGGTATATTACCAAAGCTGAATCCCCATACACCTTGAGCATTTTTACTTTGCGTTCAACAGCAGCTCTAAGACCCAGAACACAAGCTTCATACTCGGCCATATTGTTAGTACAATCAAAATTAAGCCGACTGGTGAAAGGATAATGCTCTCCCTCTGGTGAGACCAAAATTGCCCCGATTCCATGTCCCATGGCATTTGAAGCACCATCGAAGTTCAACTTCCAATATTTTCTAGTGGACGCCACTGCTTCTTCCACCGAAATAGACATTAAATCCTCATTTGGGAAATCAAAGCTCAACGACTCATATTCTTTCGAAGCCCTGCTCGCAATGAATTCCGCTATAGCACTTCCTTTAATTGCCTTCTGGTTTACATATTGGATGTCAAACTTGGACAATAAGATCTGCCAATGAGCTAATCTTCCAGATAATGCAGGCACACCCATTAAATATTTCAAGGGATCAAGCTTGGATATAAGCCAAGTAGTATGATACAACATATATTGTCTAAGCCTTCGGGTAGCCCATACTAAAGCGCATCAAAACTTTTCAATGGGTGAGTATCTTGTCTCACATTCAGTGAACTTCTTGCTGAGATAATAAATAGCCCTTTCTTTTTTTTTTTCAGTTTGGTCACGTTGCCCCAGCACACACCCCATTGAATTTTCATAAACTGATAAATACAGAATCAAGAGTTTGCCTGAGATTGGTGGCGCTAAAATTGGAGTGCTCGACAAATATCTTTTCACTGCTTCAAAAGCTCTTTGACAATCCTCAGTCCATTCCCCTGAGTTATTCTTGCGAAGAAGGCGAAATATGGGATCACACTTTTCCGTCAGCTGTGAAATAAACCGAGCTATATAATTCAATCTCCCCAAAAATCCTCTGAATTCTTTTTGTGTTCGTGGGGGTGACAAGTCTTGAATAGCCTTTACTTTATCTGGGTCTATTTCAATTCCTTTTTGGCTTACTACGAAACCCAACAGCTTCCCAGATGTCACCCCAAAAGTACATTTATTTGGTTTGAGTTTTAGCTGGCATCTACTTAGTCTTTTAAAGAGTTTTCTCAAATTCACAATATGTTCTTCCTCTGTCTTAGCTTTGATAATCATATCATCGACATAAACTTCTATTTCTTTATGCATCATGTCGTGAAATAACGTCACCATGGCCCTTTGATATGTTGCCCCGGTATTCTTCAATCCAAACGGCATTACTTTATAACAAAACG